TACACAACAGACACCGGCTTTTTCAGATCCAGATCAAAATTATGTTCGTAATGGGGAGAGGGGCGGGGGGTTCCCATTCTTACTTTATTCAAAATGTCGACTAGACAAACAATGCACTAATAGAATAAAACATAAATCTGGCATCGTCCAGCATAGTTTCTTTCCAAGTTGCAAAAATTGTTATGTTATGTTACAAATTAAAATACTAATAATATTTGCTAATATTTGCAATTAATCTGTTTCCGAGAGAAGAACGCACTGCCAGTAATGTTTGTTTGTTTGTTTGTTTGTTTGTTTGTTTTAACATGTTTCGGGCTCACGGACTAGATGCGCTGTTATTGAACGATATAATAATACATGACTTTAAAGCAGATCTTGCAAATGTCATAGATAATTAAAAAAAACCAACAACTTAAAATGGTACGGTAGCCTGTAGGTTTAATGCCCCTAAGAACAACACAAAAATCCTGTACATAATAGTAAGTTAAAACAACAAAAACAAAAATCCCAATGAACCACACACACAAACACACCTTACACACACAAACACGAACTCACACTCACACACACACACACGCGCGCGCGCGCATACACGCACATAGACACACACACAGACACACACACACACAAACAAACACGCGCACATGCACGCACACAGACACACACACACACACAAACACACGCACATACACACTCACACACACACACACACACACACAAACACGCGCACATACACACACACGACACACGCACACATAAACACTGAGGACGCAAATTATATTAGTATTTTGTAACACATAACCATTTTTACAGCACCATCGACACATTTTAGGTCTTTTAGGAGGTGGATTGCTTAGACTGTGCCTGTCAAACCTTTCAAAACAACATAATATCGCTTTGTTTGATCCAGTTTGTCTCTTACTGAAAATAAAGTCTTTAGTAAATATAAATTACATGATTTGTCGGAATCTTCATGACGATTTGGATGATTTGAAAGATAGCAAATCGACAAGGCATTCAAGTAGAGTATAC